GTATGTATAGTTAATATAAACCTTCCTAGCACACAATCAGAGTGTGTAGGTAGTGCAAACAGTGAAGCACTTGACTGACAGCCAAAAGGTTGGCAGTTTGAACCCATGTAGAGGTGCCTTGAAAGACAGGCATGGCACTCTGCTTCTGAAAGGTCATGGCCTTGAAAACTCTATGGAGCAGTTCTACTCTGCACACATTGGGTTTCCATGAGTTGGCTTCAACTTGATGGCAACTAACAACAATGACCATACAACTACACCTGAACGTATCATAGGCAACTTGCTCTAAACAAAACTTGCCTTTCTCCCTCTTCCCTTGATTATAGATCCTATTTAGTAGTAATCACTATCCACCTATCTAAGCACAAAATCTAACGTTAATCCTAGACTCTCACTTACACAGAATCAATCAGTCACCGGTTCTAGTATTTCTAGATCTTTCCCTTTACCCACTTCCACTGCCATCGGTGTCTCTAACCTGCATTAATAGGAGAGACTCCAAACTCTTCTCTCCTTTCATTCTCTCACATTAGTGTATAAACATTAAAATGACTTAGCTGGTTACAAAGTCTTTTATCATCAGTCTTCCTACCTGTCTCTCCATCTCTCCAAGTTCAACTCCTGAGGTTCTCTCCTATATACATCTGACTTCAGTCAAAATATCTGCTCATTCAAAACTTCGTATTTCTATGAAAGCATTATCTCACTCAATTACTATTGCTTGTGTCACTTGTATGCTCCTTAAAACAAGGACAGATTCTTCTTATTTTTTGTGTAACAAAATCTAATACATGGTGTGCTTAACAAATATTTTCACATAAATGTAAGAATGAATAAGTAATATAAGATTATTCAATTCACATCAATGAAAGAATGAATAAGTAATTAATGACAGACTATGCAATGTTTGAGGAGCTCTGGTAGCATAGTGCCTAAGGCACTTGACTGCTCACCAGAAGGCTGGCGGTTCAAACCCACGAGCCACTCCTCAGAAGGAAGATGGGGAATCCTACTTCCGTAGTGATACTGCCTCGGAAACCCAAGGAGGGGTCGCTATGAGTCGGGGTCGACTTGATGGCAAACAACAACAACAACAACAT